CTGTAGACAGTCTGAAGCAGTCCCATATCCCACACCTGGGATTAAAACAAAAACATATTCACATAAGATTTCTATGTTTAAAAAATAACTCAAAATTTTCACTATAGCTCACCATCAGCCTTCCTTTGGTCTGAAGAGACAGAGGGCTTGGCTGCCCGGTTTCTCACCATTCTCATCTGTCTGGTGCTCCTCTGTTCTGCTTGCTCTCAAGGAGATGTTGTTTGTGTATCTATCCTTCCTGTATTTCACCGTTCCTGTTTGGTGAGAAATCTGACCTGTTCCCCTTGCTGAATCTACATTTGGTCCTGATCACTTCAAGATTGTATCCTTCCTGAACTTTGATCCTGGTTAATGTCACCACACTAACTACCAGAAGTCAGCTAGAGTCCCATTCCCTGCCCCCTTCCTATTCCCTAAATATTTGGCCACTGCCTCACACCTCCTCCTCTCTCAGTTCTCACCTCACTTACTTTTACTGTACCATTTTTATTTGCCCATGTTATTTAAATTTTGTGTAGGGTTTAGAATCTGTACAGTCTAATAAAGTCTTTTAGGATCCAGATCTGTTCATGTAATTATTTTATTAAAATTATTCAGTGACTCCAAGAATAAAGTTCAAAGACATATTCAAGACTGTCCCAATACTTGTCGATTTCTCCAGCCTTTCTTCATAGTCTCACTTCTGTTACCCTTTACTCAAGCCCAGGAAAGGACCAGCATGTCTACTCTTGGGTCTGGTTGTTTCATTCATCATCTTACTCAAGACCAACCCAATCATGCCCCTAGCTCTGGGAGCACAGACTCCTGTCTGGCCTCTGGTCGTGATGCTGTCATTTTGGTCATTTACTCTATGCTTGTGATTATTGTTGAGTGAAAATTCTTCCTCAGAGATGAGGAAATGATGGCTTAGATGGTGATTTGAGCTGAGCATTGGTTGCTTAAAATTCACACAATGATTTCAGCTTTTCCTGGGTGACAGTCCCTTCAGGGCCCTGAGACTGAATTAAGAGCCCTTCTCTGCCCCAGGACAGCATCATTGACTGTTCTGCCCAGACTCACTCATCCTCCTGGTTCTCTACTCTCACTTGTCTGAGCTCCTTGAGGGGAGGTTATCAGTTGAGTTACTCTGCTCTTTCCAGAATGTGGCCTATGGCTTTGAACATTGCAGGTCTTCAACACACATATTTGACAAATGAGTGCCACTACTGAATCAGTCACACAAGTGTCACACGAAACTGTGTGTTTGTTCCACTTACACACTTTGAAGATCCCAAATGCCTAGTGACAATGTGCATATGCTGTGGGCAGGACTTTTAATGTGGAATTAACATCCACAAACCCTGGTCAGTGCATTAACAGTGGCCCGTGGCAAGCTTGTGTGTTAGGTTAGCAGATTATCTCAAGAATGCCTTCCCCCTCCAAACACACACCTTTCTCACAAGTGGATTGCATAGCAGAGAAGCCCTCAGGTAAACAGCAGACAGACAGCTGTCAGATAGTCACTTATCCCTAGTATACTCACAGTGTTCCTTAAGATGTATGGAACTCGGGTTGGCATATGTGATGATAGAGTAACAATGACTACATTTACTGATTACCTACTTGGTTCCAGACAGAGGGACAGCTGCATTAAAGGCAGTATCTAAATTCCTGCTCTGTTATGTGAGAACTACAATTTCCCTCAATTTACAAATGAGTTAACTGAGGATTTGAAACCCACGTAACTTACATAGCTGAAGTATAGCGTAACTGAAGTATAGTAAAACTTAGATTCAAAGAAGATCTGTTTGACTCCTGTAATGGAAAACATACATATACTTATTCACACATGTTCTCTTTCTCCCTCTCTCCCCTTCCTCACACATATTCTCTCTTTCTAGCCTTTCCCTTCACACATGTTCATACCCAAACACACTGGCTTTCCTTTTACTTAGTTTCATCTGTGGCTCACCCTGAATTTACAGATTGTAGCTGTTTGGCAATCTGGAAAATATGAGATTTTTCAAACCAAAAGTAGACTGAAATGGTCTCAGGGTTCATCCTACAGACTACAGACACTGGCTGATGAAACCTGTAAAGGGGTCAGTTCTACATAGAAACTATTTTAACACTATGTTTCAAGTGACCATGACCCTCTTTCACTCGGTGGGTGGTTCTATGCTCTGAGATTCAGAGCAGTGGCCCAGAGCTTGAGCTCAAGAGCAAGCAGCCAGGACAGGCCAGTTTCACCACTGATTAATCTGACAGCCGTCAGTCATCACAGAACACACTCTTTCTAAGCTTTCATCTGCAAAAGGGAGGTTGAAGAAACCCGTCTTTGACTTGTGTGAGGACCAAATGGACAAATTCTTGTAAGAAATTAGGATAGGATCTAGCCCACAATAAAATAATAGTAAGTGTCATTTCTGATGCCTGGGACATTGCTTGGCTGATAAGGCAACCACAGTGGCAAAACAGCTCAGCCTTCATTTACTCACCAGTCCATTCATCTTCTTACTCGCTGCTTAATTCCTTCATTCATTAAAAATATACTAGTTATCTATTAAATAGTAGACATTGTGCTTGGTGACTGGGCAGCTAACGTGATTGATGACAGACTGATGCAATTCTAAAACGCCACAGGGCTCAACAGAAAGAAAAAAAATATCTAAAAATAACTATCGTGGTTGGAGGTGTTGCTTCAGAGTTACAGTGCTTGCCTAGTATGCATGAATCATGAATCTGATCTCTAACACCACAAAAGTGAAATAAAAGTTAAAACAAAAACAATAATTATAGCACAGAATAGAAATGCTTAGTGCAGAAGAGCTTTGGTCTTTGCAGAGAAAGAGTCCTATGTATACAGATATATCATACTTCCAGGTCACAGTTATAGACAGTTATAGTCTGTCCTTTTGTATTTGTTAACCAATCATTAAAGTTGTGTTTATGGTTCTGAGTGAGTAAGAGATGATAGATAGATGATAGATAGATTGATTGACAATAGATGATAGATAGATAATAGTTGATAGATAGATGACAGATGATAGATAGATAGATGGTAGATGATAGATACATGATAGAGAGATGACAGATGATAGATAGATAGGTAGATAGATAGATATATAGATAGATGATAGATTGATAGATAGACATGACTTATGCTCCTAAATTTCTAAAGCTATTATTACTTCATTTTTGAAAACAAGCTGTAATTTACAAATTTTGCTAGCAAGTTAACATATTATTAACCCTCATTTTTTGCTTCTTAAAATTAATTAATTCATTCATATTTTTTAATATTTAAGCCATCTAAAATATTTACAATATTCTAGAAAACTGTGAACATTTACATTAAATTACAAATCAAACTGCTTCAGATCTCTTTAGTGGCTTTTGTTACAAATCATGACACCAAATAAAACATCCACATGAGAAAAGAATTAGTAATAATTTTGCAGAAGGCCATTGTATGACACAGAGTATTTTTCTTTCAAAATTAGTGCTAAGAACTATTAAGAAAAATTAAGGCAAAGTAATGAAGGAGTTGACATAAAGTTATGCATTTGATCCTATATCAGAAGTTTTAAAAGCATTCAAATTCAAAGTTCATGAATGATAAAACACACTGAAGTATGTTCTAAGAAAGCTGGAACACCTTCATCCAATTTTGTTTTCTGCAACGTGGAAATAGCCTTGCTGTGATGAACCACAGAATATCTGCATTTCCCCAGGGTAAATTTTTAATCACAGGGTAACATCAGTATGTGTTCTGGGTTACAATAGAATACTAAATTTGGAAGGAGAATAATTCAGATAATCTAGTGAAACTGAGGAAGCAGTGAGTTTGTATTCCTCTCTGAATATTTTGAAAAACACTTAATTTGAAAATGAGTGGTGCTTTACGGTTGTAACAATCTGCAAGTCACTTAGCTTTCACAAGGTACTAATCATAGTTGCTGAGAAGATCATTAGAGTAGGGTTTTCACTCTTCTGCTGGTCCCCAGGGCGGCTGTTCATTCTCTTCTAGCCTCTGAAAGGCATTAGTGTGAGCTCTGAAGACAGGCAGACACCTTGAGAACAGATGTACTAATATGTCTTCAAAATAGCCCTTCCTTTCATCTACTAAAACTTTTTTGGAGAAAATGGAACATGCCCAGAGGTGCTCACATCTGCCTTTGCAATCTTTGGAACAGAAGCCTATGACCCTGAGCTAAGCACACCAGTGGTGTACCCACTACTTTTCCTTTAAAATCTATGACCTCAGGCTGAACATGCTCAAAAGTGTTCTGCTCAGAGGTGGCAGCCCTCAAATTCTCGCCCATATACATAAGTATAGGTGCTTTAAATAAGAGCCCCACACTTTTTTGATAGGAGATACTGCCTTGCAAATGAGTCCTACACTCTATCAGCAGCGGAGAATCCATCTTCCTCCCTTCCTGACTGCTTGTTTTGGCTTAAACTCACCAAGAGACAATCCATTTCATTGCATTTGGATGTACAGACAATGTAGCATTTATCTTACTCAATCCCTTCATTGTATTTCAAGATGCAGCTTTGAGAAAATACACTATGTAGGTAGATAGAATATCTTTCGCATGCTTGCTTACTCACTATTTCATTTTACTTATAGCATGTGAGTTTCTGGTGACTCCAACATGTATGTCTGAAGAAGAACAACCAAGAGTGAACTCAAGTCTTGGTTACTCCATGCTTCAAGAGAGAACTTTAAAAAAAATACAGATAAAACCCCATTTAACTATCTTAGGTCAGAAGATGCGTTTCATCTATTTCTGTAGTCCCCTCCCCCTCTCAGCTCTAAGGCTTTTCTACACATAGAGTTTTACAGGTATTATAAAGTTCTCAAACACCCATATAATCTTGGAAAAAACTTTTCTGTTTCTAAGGCACTTGTTACATTAGGATGAGGTCTATGGTGAACATACTCCATGCTTGGGCTTTATTGTGTTCATGCAGGAGTCTGGAAGCATTGGAGGATGCTTTTTGACTTTGTTACTTACGGTTGAGGGGCAGGCTTGCGTTGGTTGTGCCCAGCTTGTTGGCAGCTACACAGGTATAGTTGCCGAAGTGCTCCTGTGTCACATTGGTCACTGTGAGGATAGACCTTGTGCTGAAGTTCTGAATGATAATTCCTTGCTGGCCATTGAAGAGCCTAGAAGACAGAATGTACTCTATTAAGTATGTTCTAGGACATTAGATTCTAATTTAGCTTAGGCAGAGCAGCCACCAGCCATGGCAACCTGTAAATTACAGTGTAACCACATCCACCAAGACATTAACAGCATGGTGTTAGTTTTGTTTAGCAACTCTTCTCATACTCCAGTTTGAGGGAGAAGACAGGCTTGAGACCTGCCTTCTGCTCTGATAGTTGCCTTGCTACATGGTAAACCAGACCATGTAGTCTTCATGTGCACTCTTCCCAGTGTACAAATTCATCCACCAGAGCAAAGGCTTCTCATCGTGAAAGCCAAGGACGACAGAAAAGACTTAGAGTCCACCATAAGCTGATGGCTTCTGGGTAATCTAGCTAGCTGATAGGAGCCTAAAAAACTTCAGGTGACATTTGTGGGTAATTCCTCTAACACTATATGTTACAAAGATTCATGTCAATGCTATAAAGCTATTGTCATGGACAACCAAGCAGAGAGATGACTTTCTTAAACCTGGAGAAAGAAGTAGAGCAATTCAGACAGCATTCAGAAGCCTGAAACACATCTGCTTTCAAAAAGAAAGAGTTGCTTTCTTCTTGATACTCCTGACTTTCTGGAAATCTCTCTCTAGACACAGCACCTGAGGCCTCATTCAGTTTGTGCTGGCATGGCTCCATGTTGTAGTACCAGGTCACATATCTCTGTTTCTGCATCTTCCTGATTCTACCCTTGGTGCTGACCTCCTGCTGTTCCTGTCCCTCAGACTGTTTCCTCCTTATGCCAGCTGGTCTATGTTTTTCTATTGTTTCTTAAATGGCTGTCTTCTCTGTGTAATGCACTCTTGGATTGTTCTACCAGTTTTCATACACACAAGTTTTGATGTTGTTGTTGTTTTTCCCAGTTCTCCATTTTTTATTGTCATATTGTTTTAATTTTTATTTTTTTATATAAATTACATTTTCTTCACTTTGCATCCCAGCTGCAGCTCCCTCTCTCATTCCCTCCCAACCCCATCCTCCCTCCATCATCTTCTCTCATGCCCCAGTCCAAGATAGAAAGACCGGAAGGGGACAGGAGTTCCACAAGGAGAGCACCAGAACCAAGAAATCTGGGCCCAGGGGTCTTTTCTGAAACTGATAGTCCAACCAAGGACCATGCATGGAGATAACCTAGAACCCCTGCACAAATGTAGCCCATGGAAGCTCAGTCTCCAAGTGGGTTCCCTAGTAAGGGGAACAGGGACTGATTCTGACACGAACACAGTAGCTGGCTCTTTGATCACCTGCCCCTGATGGGGGAGCAGCCTTACCAGGCCACAGAGGAAGACAATGCAGCCAGTCCTGATGAGACCTGATAGGCTAGGAAGGGGAGGAGGACCTCCCTTATCAGTGGACTTGGAGAATTTTTTTAACTCATTGAATTGTTATAATTTCCTTTAAAAAAAAGTCCAGACTACAGGGACATACTTTCTTTGATGCTGGAGTTGTGAGCCATTTACAGTGTATCCTAAACACATGAGGAATGCCTTACGGTAATCATGAGATGAAGCCAAATTCAAGAGATTTTCTCTAGAAATATAAATTCTACACCAATGAGGTTAAAACCAGATTCTACCTTCTGCTTGATTAACTTCAAATTGATGTAAAAGAGACATACTGATCCCAAGGTGGGTAAATTCACCCTGCATGTGGCCAGTCAGATTTTTCTTTCATGTATGTTTGTTTCAGTACCATACATGTCTGATCATAAAGAAGCTCCCCAGAGTCAGCACTGACTGACACTCTGCAGCTTGCACTGAATCAAGACTAACTAGTATACATGTCATGTAAATCAGAGGTAACGAGATATTAGTACTCTTAGAATTTCCTAAGTTTCCTTACTGGTTAGATATGACTTATTCAAAACACAAACTTTAATCAGATTTAAAAAACCTTGAGTTGAATAAACACTGAGCAAAATTTAAACTTGAGCATAACTATGATCCCCAAATCTAAATGAGAAAATAGGACAAAAATATTGCTAACCTGTGAAAATACTAAATTCCTAGTGCCTTATTGTACACTTTCATGACTCACATTAACAACCTTTAATCAATCAATTAATTGATATGACTTGATAAACCCCACCCTTGTCTCTGGATGTTCATGAGTCCTACCTAAAAGCTTTAGCAGGTATGCCCCATGTGATCAAAGAATAAGAGTATTTTAACTGATGACTTCTTTCTCTCTTTGAAGATTTATTCCAAGATGATTCTCTACAATTTTTTGTTTTTTATTAAGGGACTCTTCCTTGGGTGAGGACACAGTTAAATTGGTGGGGCACTGCTTTAGCATGCAAACCTGGGTTTGATCCACAACATTGAATAAGATGGGGTGCCAGCATACACTTCTAATTAGGGGGCAGGAACAAGGTGATCCATCTGATGCTTCAGAGTCATCCTTAGCTACATAGGAAGTTGGGGACTAACCTGGGTTACATGAGGTTTTATAGAAATAGAGATAGAAATTAGATGGATAAATAGATGATAGATAGATAGGTGATAGAATAATTTCTATATTGTCCTATATTTACAGATTATTGACTTCTTACAGCCTTCTGCTACAGTGGAAGAGAATCTCTACTAAAGTAGCAGTTAACATTATGCACCAGGCTTCCTGTTCTTTATAAGAGTAGCTGCAGCATATATTACCTATAAGAAAGTACCTATCCATGTGTCCTTGTGTACTTTTACAGGGGGAAGTGGGGTGTAAGATCCTTCTGTCATTGCCATCCTGTTGTCCTGGAACCATCCTGTTTGCTCCATGGTGAGGGTCATTACCCTGACTCTCCCTCTCTCTTTTCCCAGTGTCCCATAAATCTGTGAGCTTCAGGCTGCTTGATTTGCCAGGGTCTGCTGTGGGCCCCATCAGCAGACTGTTCTACTGTATTAGAACAGAGTACTGTGTTTTCTATTAGCAGAGGTAACACATGGGAACCAGGGGTGCTTAGTTGTCAAACAATCACATATTCCAACCATCATCTCCTTTGGGCATCATCTCCTTTGGGTCACTAAGGTGACCAAGAAGAGCCAGTAGCAAAGTCACCAGAGAAAACTCGACCACATAGTGTCATCAGTTGCTAAGATTGTAAAAATAAGTAGGACAATGGCATTGTGCCTTGCTCAGTCTCAGGCCTGCCTCACTTCACTTTGGGACCATTGCCTGCTCTTCCTTTCCAGGTCAGAGTCAATAGCAAATGCCACAGGCCCTGAGTCATGACAGCATTGCCAGCCTCACGTTACACAGGAAGGTTTCATGTATATGTGGTAATTGTTCTCCATACATTTATAACTGAAATTCTTCAGCTTTTGTACATGAGTCTGTAGTGTTAAGAGTGAGGAACAAATAATCATTCTATGAACATGAATGAATGTTCTCAGCAATCCTGGGAGATAGGTGTTATCAGTCCTAGTTTAGAGATGAGGAGACAGAAGTTTAAAAAGATTAAGCTAATTCATCTTCCAGCACCCAATAATCAACAGACCTGACATTCACATCTGGACCTCCTCTGGCTGCAGTGTCCACTCATCATAACTGTTAGTGTTGACCTTTTCAAGCAGAACTGGATATTGTGTTTGAGACTGGTCAGAAAGAGTGGGTGCTTCGGGAAAGTTGAGTTGGGCCAAGGGACAAAGCCCTTGGGGCTAAACAGCTAACTAACAGGCAGCAGCCAGGTCGGGAAAGCTGGGCTCAATCCAGGGGATGCATCTAATGGGTAGAAAGGCAACCTGTCATTCTGGCAAGCTTTCATTCTGGGAGCTTTCTGGGTATCTTTCTAGGTCAGGGGCCTCATGAGTAGTTCTGGAGCTTAGTTCTACCTTGAGTGAAGCTTTTCACACAGCTGCCATTGGCCTCCCCTGGAGTCAGTCTCTCAGGGTGCACATAGCCTGGAATGAGAAGCAGCAAGCATGCTTCCTTCCCTCCTGGAACTTGCCCAGGCACACACTCCACTGGCAGCAGCTCCTGCCTGTGGTTTTGCCCCTCTGCCCACTACATAATCGGAGGGGAAGTAATCTCTCCTTGCACAACACTGTTAGAAATAGCAGAAAATCAGCCATGGTCCAGAAATGTGACTTCTTCACTGATAAAACTGTCTCCAGAAATGAAGTTCCAGTGGAGTTGTGGTGTTGCGAGCTCTGCCAGACCTGGCTGGGTTACCACATCTCCTAACACAGATTTAGTTGCACATATTTGTGAGTACTTTGGTTTCATGTCCATCTTGCCCATGAGTGTGGAACTATCTAATGAAAACATTTCTCAGTGCCTTTGTTAGCTGTTGTATTTCAAGCACATCAGAGAATAGTGCTGGTCACTTAAAATGTGGCCACACAGAGCAGTGACCATTACATGCTTCAATTGGGTTATTACATTTCTGTAAACCTTCATGTCTTTGTCTGTGAAATGGGAGACACCAACCCAGTAGCCAACTGTGGACATGAAAATAGTTTTAAATGATAATTTGTTCCCTTTAGGTATATGTATGTCAAATGAAGCAGGCACTAGATCATGACAGGTGAAGCCAGCGTTCAATGATAGGCTCTGTTCCTTAAAGTGGATGCACTTCCTCTCAGGGGCAGCCAAACATTAAATATTGAATATACAGGAAATTATTTTAGGCAAGGTGAGTGATGGTGAAGATTATGGCATTGTGATTTCAAGACATGCCAAACTCAGCATCAGTCATATGCCCATTTATCAGTCTCATCCAGGCTTTTGGGAGATCCCCAGGATATGCAAAAAGAAACCAAAAGTGAAAATGGGAAGGAGTGGGAGCTTCAATAAACCAGCAGGAGAAGAAGGTTCCCTGTTTATGTGTGTATGCTGCTATAGCAATCTATTCGTTTATTATGTGGCTTGGCACTTATGGCTAGCATTTATTCCTGGGAACACTCTGAAGACTATTATGAATCACTGTTTGAGCCCCGAGAGGTGTCTATCTATAGTTGTGCATTTGAATAAATTGA